TATAAGATTTACTGATCGTTGTTATAATCTAGACCTTCAGTTATTGATGCGTTCTCTTAAGTTGTAAGATAATGTAAAATGGGCATATATATTTATTACTTATTTATTTGATTTAGCAAGGGTGATTCATATTCTGTTAGGATGACTTACTCGCTATTTTGGTAAGTAAGAATATTTATATAGTGTGCCATTAGATATTATTTACAGTCACTATGTCCCAGTGCGCTGGTTTGATGACATCCCCGAAATGAGCTCAGGAAGGAATATTATGTCAAACCCTGCAGGTGGATAATTATCCGACATAATCATTAATGAACTGAGTGACACTAATTTCGAAAATGAAAGAAGTCAATTTAATTTAATTGTCAGTAATTAAATAAATTGATTGATGTTATATCTTAAACATAGGGAGGTAATTCGGTCAATTAGATTAATTAATTAATTTAATTAATTATTTGGAGGTTTGATTTAATTGATTAAATTAGAGCCAAATGGGGAGAGCAATAATAGTATTCTAGTGGAATATATATTTATATTTAATTCTAATTAGGATTTTTAGAATTAATTTTATTCCACAAATAATATTTCATGATTAGGAGAATATTCCTTCTAGAATATTACCTAGGGTTAGGAGACTTGAGAGTCTTCTAGAAGGTAATGTTAGGAGAAAGGAATCATGACCTAATTGGGATTAGTATATGAAGTAGAATTAGGACTCCTTAGCCTAATGGGATAAACCCATATTTGGCTCCTCTTTAAGGTCCCTAATGGAGCCTATAAAGACACCATGTCCCAACCTCTTGCACTGATCAATGATAGGGCCGATTTTTCTACTTCACAAAAGAGAAAAAAATTGTCTTGTTCGAGAGTTTGAGAGAGTCAATTAATCGCACCACCAAGATTAATTGAAGTAGGTGTTTAGGTAATTCATTAGAAGATCTTAAGATAGTTTATTTCAAACCTTGAAGATCATATTTTTCCGGCCATCCTCCACCGTCGACCGCCGCCCTCCGCTACCGCCGTCAGTCGTCGAAAAATCCTATCGCCGCCAGAAGTTACCCGAGCCCAGCCGCACGCAGCCGCGAGCCATAGCCCACAGTCGTACACCGCCAGGCCTCGCGCAAGCCTCTAGCAGCAACGCACCGCAAGCCCCGTGCTCGCCGTCCCTACCTGCTTGTGCCCCGCGACCGACTGAGGTCTGCTGCCTCGTCTCCAACGCACGACCCTGCACGCATAGGAGTCCCGAGACCCGCGTGTGCCCAGACGCTGCCAACGCCCAGTCCGCCCAGGGCTAGGAGTGTCGNCGACCCGACCCGAGACGTGACCTGACCCGAGTCTTTACAAACCGAACCCGATCCAACCGGCCCGAACCCGACGAGCCTGATCCGGTGATCCGTTCGAGATTCAACACTCGACTAGAGTCGACAAAGGGAAAACCCTTCCACCGATTGGGTTGTGATAATCAGACGATCTCCATCAAAGGAAATCAGAAACATCTCCAAGCCGGCAAAAATTTTAAACGGTAAAGTCCTAACCCTAACTATAGATTCCGCTGCGTTAGGGTTTATTTTTCTAAAATTCGAACGTGCATGTTGTTGTCGTTTCTAATAGAACCCAACAAATTCTGATGTTATTTTCTCCATTGGTAATTCCAATCTCCAACGTAAAATATTCCAATAAAAATTTCAACAGGTATTCCAACAAAAATATTTTGTTAGAATGAGTTTCACTGGAGTTCTCATTGGATTTTGACGATTGCATTGCCAAATTTTCCACTCGTTGGAATATGGCTCAAAATAAAAATTACAACAGAAATTGTATATTCAAACAAATATTCCTACATCAATAAATTAACCGTAAGAAAAATAATTGTTGGAATCAGCAAATTTGAACTAAGATTCCAATGAAAGCCTCATTCTAGTGGAATATATTCATTGAAATTTCATTTAAATTTCGTTGGAGTTTCTAACTTAAGTTATACCATATCGTTGGATTTTTTTGTTAGAATATATATGATAATTTTTTTGGGTTGTGCAGTTAGAGCTCATTAGTATCATTTGTGTTATATATGGATCTTGTAAATATCACCAGAACCTCCCTCTAGACAAGAATTTCTCAACAAAAAATTAACAACCAAATCACACAATTACATTCTTAATTTCCCACACCAATAAAATCTCAACTCAAATATCTTCTGCACAGCATTTTTATCCCATCAGCTGAAGTACTATACTGAGACCAGAAATTAAATCTCAGCGGATCATCAAACTAGAACCAGCTACGTTGTAACAATATAAATAATAATATTGTCAGCATTATTAACAGCTATAATTATTTAAGCACACCCGCAAATGGCGTGATTTCCATTTAAACAAAAGGAAGCAGAGATACTAAAATGATTTGCAGCCAGGGTGTGTGTCTTTAGGGCTCATCAAGGGATGATTAGGCAAAATTCTTTGAGATTAACATTAATGATTTGGTAGGTGGGATCCCCAGTTTTTGCACTCAATTTTATTAATAATGTAACTATTTTTTTTTAGCTAAATTTTATGAGTTGTTATGTATGAGATGCAAAATGTATTATTTAAAATATAACTTTTTTTTTTGTGATTAAAATTTACTGATAAGAAGGGAAGTCAAGTCATATTGTTTTTATAACTGCAGCACAAATTTTATGAACTTCATTTTATGATGATACATTCTTTTTTATTTTTTTTTTCAGAAAATAAATCAATTTACTAAAATTGTGTTCAATATGTAATTTCGTAAATGTAGTACTATATCTTAAGTACTTGTTTAATAAGCAAATTTTGACCATTAATAGATTCCGAGAATGTTGTTTAACTAATATGAAACTTTTGAAAACTAAATTATGCTCTTTAATGAAAATTAAATTTAAGTGGTATTCGCAAAAGTTAATATTATTTCTCTTTCTCTCACGTTAATTTCAATGAGTACGACATCATAATAAGTAAACTGCGATACACTAATGAATTAAAATTTAAAAGTAATAAGCATTTGTCAGGTAAATTTTCATAAGTAATTTCGTAAGATATAGATCGTGCATTGTGTTGAATAATTTTAATTGATAATTTCTGATACCTAGTATTTGATGCTTAAATATAATGAATATAAATGTAAATTATTTTGTGTATTAATTTAGAAATTAATTACCTAATCTGGAACACTTGAATTTTGATAAGATATTTTATGTAATTTTCTTATTTATGATAAATAATTTGTTAGTGTTTTTACTATAAATATAATATCAAAATATTGAAGGTGCATATAGCAGTTTTGTTCATCTAAAATAAATTAGTAATCATCTAGAATAAATTATTAATTTTGATGTTTTTTTATTTTTAAATTGTTGGTATCCAAATTTTATGGAGAATAACCTCACTTATATATTGATTGAATTTATTGGTTAAAGTGATTTAATTTTTTTTTTTTTAAAAAAAAAGATGATTGAGTGGAGGTTTGAGTGAGCTTTTTAGTTTATATTTAAATAATATTTAAATATAATTATTAAAGTTGATGTAATTAAAAGTACGAAAAAAATTATTGAAAATGATAATCAGTTAAAATTATATGAATGAATTAAAGTTGATATTATGTGAATAAATAAATAATGGATTAAAGTAGATATGTTAACAATGATAGATTGATATTACTTAATTATATTTGATCATACTGATAAGAGTTAAAGTTGAATTAAAATTACTTGAATTTTGAGTTAAAAGTAGTACAAAATTATCCGATCATTCAAAACCGTTTAAACTTATATCCAATCGTGCGAACTTGGTCTTGTATTGAATATCCCTAAAGATAATTTCTCATAGAAAGAATATACAATCAGTTTCCGAAAAACAAGATGCATGAATTTGTACTTATTTCGTAGAGAAACAAGAGAGAATCATTTTATAAAAATAAGATTCATGAATTTGTACCAATTTCAAGAGGAAGAATGCACAATCATTTTCTGAAAACAAGATTCATGAATTGTACGTTAATGCATTCTCAACAGGTGCCGTAAGAGCCTTTTCAAACGCGATTAAATCCAAAACAAGTAGGACTTTTCATACTAAATAAATAAATAAATAAATAAAAGCTTATCAAAAAATTTGAAGGACTAACTTTAGGCTGCCATATTTTTATAAACAAATTAGATAAATGTCATACTTTTATTTATATTGATTTTTAAAATATAAATTTAAGTATAAAATATGAACATATCTTGTAAATATACAACGATTTAATGGTAAAACTGCACAAAAGCAACATTACTGGAAATTGGAATTACATAGGAACTTATATATTGTCCGTCTGTAGTTTATTTTGAAATTTGTCCATGAACTCAAACAACACTCATTCTAATGTCTATTTCAAAATTTTATTTAATTTTTCATTTTCTTTATTTTTTTTATTATTTGGCATGATGTTAACATGTTTTTTTTCCAAAAGAAAGATAGATGATTAAATATGTTGGACAATATTATCCCATCAACTGGTTTGACCATTTTATATAACATTATATATCATTAAGATACACAACATATACTACTTTTCTAATTCACTACTTGAAAAGTTATCTAACATGTAGAAGTATCAAGATGTCCTCAAAATGAAATTTTCTAATTTGTAGGATTAAATTGCTCTATTACTGAATAATGTTCTCGGTGTACAAAGAGTTTGCCGGCGGCAAAGTAGGGTCGGGGCCGGCCATCCACAGTCCATTCACTACCTCCAATTATATAAGCAAGCATATAACATTATACTATATGTATTTAAATAAAATAAACTTCAAAAGTCAAAAGTACAGCACTATCAGTAGTATTGGAAAACCCATTAAAGATATTTGAATAACCCAAGAAATTTCATTTGACTTATGAACCATGATTGCCACTGCCCTAAATATATAAAGGGGCAAAAACACCCACGTACACAAACTCATAAATCATCCAAATCTGCATATAATT